CTGGACTCTTTTCTGAATCTGTCTTGCAAAAATCATGGTATTACCCGACACTATCCTAATTAGCAAGAATAAGCCATGCCAACTGCAAATCTCTCACCTAATAAAACTGAGGAGATGAAGGTGTGAGAAGATTGCAGTTTCTGCTACAGTAGACCCTCACTAAATGTTTTTGAATTAAATATAATTGACTTTTCTTTACAAAATGGGGAATCAAGAATATCTTTGACTGAAAATCAAGAGTTCCATATTGTGGCAATACAAGATATAATTCTTCAAAATAAATAAATTTTTGTAGGGTTAGCCGACCAATGTTGGGAGGAACCAGGCCCAAGGAATGAAAAGAAAAACTTATTTAAAGGCTGGCTCTCAGTATCCAAGACACCAGCACTGATTGTGTAAGTCCAGGCCCTTTTATTCCTTTTTTCAGAGTTTCTTGTTTCTTTAATTGATAGTTGAAAATGTCATTCTCTCTGGTCCCAAGGTCAGCTTGTTTTTCCCATGTGGGTCATGGTACCCTTCTTGTTTTATTGTTTCTTTCCTGTAGTTCTTGCTCAAAAATAGATTTTGATTAGAACTAGACATTAGTCATTAGAGGGTTTGGTGGTTAGTTTATTTTCAGGCGTAACACATGGGAACTTCAACGAGAATTAGACATTAATCATTGTAGGGTTGAGTAGTTAGCTATTTTCAGGACTGTACATTCCTTTCTAGCTGAGGATATGAGATTTGATTTAATTAACCCTTTATTCCCTCCTCTTGTTTGTTGTATAAAATTTATTTGAATTTGTACTACTAGGGAAGTTGAGGAATGTCACTTCTTTCTTCTGTAACTGCTTCCTGCTGATAGGGGGTGTAGAACTGTCCCTATATTGTATGTTCAGGTATAGGTTGATAATGGGCTGGTCATAAGAGGAGGATATCTTTTACTGAATTGTTGGTTATTGCTTTAACATGATCTTGCAGAAATTTCCTAAAAATTTTGAATAGGCAAGGTTGAAACAATAGTATTAAGAATATAGATATGAGAGGTCCCAATAAAGGTAATAGCCAAGAGAAAGCGGGTATCCATAAAGTCAATGAAGAGGTGACCAAGGGTTAAAGTGTCTGTTGAGGTGAGAAAGAGGAGGATGGAAAGATTAGGGTCTGTTTGTTGATGAAGTAATGGAGGGAGTGTCATTGTTAAAGAGGTTTGAATTGGAGTAGGACATTTAGGTAAGATAAAAAAATGATGTGTATATCTAGGTATACTCTAAGCCAAGGATAGAATCAGCTGAGGCTAATCCTGTACAGACACCAGTGATACAAAATACCTGCAGTCCTTACAGACACAATAGAAGACAGACACAGAGTAATCCCTCACAGAACATCCCAATACTATGGGAGAGAGATCCAATAGAGCTACTACCTCAGGACCATAGTACTGGGGTACACCAGACTCAATTGGCACAACAAAATACATAAAAGCGTTGATCTACATCCTACATTGGTGAGTAGTGACTGAGGTCTTAAAAGCTTTCAAGCAGCCATCTAGGATGCAGCTAATGGTCTCCTAGGGTTGGAAGTGAAGACGAATGCACACACACACACAAATAAATAAACGGTATTTAGAAGCAATTAACCCTAGGACACGATAGCCCTCGAGACCAGAAGAACCAGATGGTGCCCAGCTACCAATGCCAACCACTCAGGAAAGGATCAAATCTGGAGATCCTGGATAGAGTGGGAGGGAAAACGTGGAACAAAATCCAAAAACTCAATAAATGACCAGAAGTACGGTCAGATGAAGTCTGGTGAGACTCCCAATACTATGGCCCTGAAATACATTCGGAGCCTGGAATAAAACTCATCCCCAGAGGTGGGCTCTCAGCTCAATGGTTAGTGAGATGTACATGCAGACCACTCAACCCAGGATGCTGCACCCATACACTCAATGGTAATACATCCCCTAAAGCAATAAACCATGGGACACCAAAGGACCAACATTCAAACTGAGGAAATGCAGGACAAACAGGAGTGCATAACTATGAGGGGCACAGGGAGAGGGTTGCAGGGTAGGGAGGGGAGGAGACTGGGTTAGGGTTGGACATGGCGAATGGGGAATGAAACTAAATGTACGCGTGACTTTGAATGTAAAACAAGCTCTTAAAATTAAAAAAAAAAATGCAGAATTGGAGTAAAAAAAAATAAAAATGATGTGTAAATGGAGTTTCAAATAAGCAACATTGTATAAGGGGTGTAATTAAAGGTTGTGTTGTGAGTCCATCAACCCCCACAACAGAGATAGAAGAGGGATTTAAATATCCAGTAAATTCAGGTAGGGCAGAACAAGTGGCCCCAGTATCTATTAAAAACGAGATAGCCTTCCTTACCTGCCACTTTCATAATTACCTGTGGCTCTGTTGTTGGGGCCTGTTGGGAGCCTGAGCATCTTCAGTCTTCAGTAGCAGGGTCAAGAAGATCAGGCAGTTCCAAACTGGACTCAGAGGAGGGTATTTTGGGAACAGATGCAATCCTGCCTAGAAAGGCCTGACTGCAGTCTGACTTCCAGTGTCCCTCCTTGCCACATGCTGGACAAGGTCCAGGTGGGGGTCTCAGATTTGGAGGATCTGGCCCAAAGACCTTCCTTGCCACATTTGAAGCAAGGTCCCGGAGGTGACTCCAGTTTGCCTTTCCATGGTCCTGGTGGAGGTTTCAGAGTAAGTCTTCCCTGCAGTGGCTGTCTCACAGAGCCTTGTAAGGCAGTGGCTAAAAGTTGGGCTTTTGCCTGATCTCGTTTTTGTTTTTGTAATTTTAATTCCTCATCTCTATTATCGAAGACTCTAAGGGCAAGATTAAGAAAATCTCTGAGGGGTTTGTGGACCTGTTTCTAGTTTCTGAAGTTTTCATCGGATGTCAGGGGTGGACTGAGAAATAAAATGCATGTTAAGTTGGGATCCTTCTTGTGAAGTGGGGTACATTTCTATAAAGTTTCAGTTAGGTGGGAAAGGAATAAAGTTGGATTCTCTTCAGGACCCTGAGTAATTTCTTTAAGTTTTTCATAATTGACTGCTTTGTGGGCTGCTTTTCTGAGTCCAACAATAAGGCAAGTAAGCATAAGGCCATGGTGCTGCTTGCCAGCGGAATCAGTCTGATAATCTGAATTTGGGCCGACTCGGGGTACCGCTACTGTTGCTAATGGGAGGGCTGCATTTTGTCAGTGTAATTTATAAGCATGCACTGGGGCTGCTAGCCAGACATGCTCCTTTTCTTCAGGGTAAGGGAAAAGGTTAAAATGACATAAATATCATGTCAGGTGAGATTATAAGACTGGCTGATATAATCAAATTCTTTGGTATAAGTAGTGAGGTCCATTGAAAAGGAGCCAAGGCGTTTTTCAATTTGAGAGAGGTCTGATAAAGAGAAAGGAACGAAGGAGGGTTCAGCATTGGGGACAGAGCCAGTGGGGCTGGTTTAGAATGGAGGAGGAGAATCTGATATATAGAGCAAGAAGACAGAGAGAAGGATGATTGCAGAGTGTGAAGAAGGCCTGGACATAAGGAATTCTGGACCACTTTCCACTACGTTGACAAAAATTATCTAAGTCCTGAAGGACATTAAAATAGAAAGTGTTATTTTCTGGTCACTGGGAGTATTATTCCCCATAGTGGGTCAGTGACAATCTGAGTTCTGGAGATGTTAAGATCAAAGGAAAGGCATCCTGTTGTTTGGCTTAACACTGGAGGAAAGCGTGGAACCAAACTTCTTTTCAGGTGTCCCTGAGACAGAGTATGTTCAGGGGGGTGGCAGAAGCTTGGAGGCTGAGGCCAGAGAATCTCTGGCCTAGCAGCAGGTCTGACAGTGAACAGTAATTCAGAAATCTGTGAAAGGAAAACAATGTCACTCACCAAGAAGGAATCAGCCAGCGTTGGATGTGTTGTCTGTAATGGAAAGGAATTCCTTATGGGTTCCTCCTGGCAAGTTATTTCTCCTATTCCATTCAAACCCCTGCAGGCTTTTCCATTTTTTCCCGCTGTTTGGTCTTTGTTCCTTCCCAGGTTTTGGCACTATAATATGTAAGGTTAGGTGACCAATGTCAGGAGGAACCTGGCCAGAGGAAAAGGAAAGAAAAGTTTATGTAAAGAGTAAAATCATAGAAGCATAAAAGCTGGCTCTCAGTATCCAAGAGACCAGCACTGATTGTATAAGTCAGGGCTCTTTTATTCCTTTTTTCAGAGTTCTTTGTTTCTTTGATTGATGGTTGAAAACTTTGTTCTCTCTGGTTCCGAAGTTGGCTTGTTCTTTCCGTGTGGGTCATAGTGCCCTTCTTGTTTTATTGTTTCTTTCCTATAGTTCCTGCTCAAAAATAGATTTTGATAAGAACTAGACATTAGTCATCAGAGGGTTTGGTGGATAGCTTATTTTCAGGAGTACCAGATGGGAACTTCTAACAAGAATCAGACATTAATCATTATAGGGTTGGGTAGTTACTATTTTCAGGAGCGTACATTCATTCCTTTTTAGCTGAGGATATGAGATTTGATTTTATTAACCCTTCAATTTACGTATTTCAGAATAGAAACGTCATACTTCCTAATGGAAACAAACTTGAGTTGAAGCGATTTTTTACAGAAGAAATGCATAAGTGACACTCAAATTGAAATCAGTATAATTCTTAATGCAGCATCATTATAGTACCTAGTTCAGTGCTCTGCGAATGGATTGATGCAGACAGAATACTGTTGCCTGCAATTGTAGCAGTTTCGTCTTTTTTAAAAGGCGGCGCACAGCGGCAAGCCTCTCAAAGGGAAATGAGGTGAAGTTCCTTTAGTAAGGTAAAGCCATCTCGCCCAGCCCTAAGTACCTGATGTGCTCCCAGGACTGAGGGACAATGAACCACATTTCCCAGAGAGCCCTGTCGGTGGCCCACGCCTGCGCACTGCCAAAGAAAGGCGGCCCGCCGAACTCCCGCGCTATCCCGCCACCTGGCCGCGCCTCAGCTCACCTCTCTTCAGTCTAGGGGTATGGAAGGGGTTGCGACAGGCAGCACGGGTACCGCCAACCCAGAAGGGGCCGTCGCGACGACGCCCCCACCTCCTCCCTCCCCTCCAGCCCTCACCCCGGCGCCTGCTGCAGATGAGGAAGGCCCGCCGCATTTACCCGAGGCAGGGGCTCCCGGCTGCTCGGGCTCCCGGCCCCCAGAGCTGGAGCCGGAGCGCGGCCTGGGTCGCTTGAGAGGAGGCTTCGAAGACGAAGACGAGGAGTTGGAGGAGGATGAGGAGCTGGAAGAGGAAGAGGAGGAGGAGGAGGAAGAGATGAGCCACTTCTCGCTGAGGCTGGAGGGAGGTCGGCCGGACTCCGAGGACGAAGAGGAGGTATTTAGAGTCCCTGCCTGAGGGGCCTCGGGTCTGGGCCGGAGTCCCAGCCGCCGCCGGAGCCACTGCCGTGTGCGGCGATCTCCACCCTTGCGGGCCTCGCCTGCGCGGGCGAGTGGAGCGGACCAGCCTGTCCCGCCCAGCCCGATTCCCAGCCAACTTGTTTCGTGAGGTTCCTGCAGTCACTTAGGTTCTCCGGGTCCTGCTCACTCATTCTGTAAACAGTCATTAAGTCTGCTCTGGAGTCGCTAGGAGTCGGAATCGACCCGACCGCGCACAACAACGTCTGTGTGCCTGGAGGTTGGCAGGCGCCGGGGATACCGCGCCCGCCCTCTCTGATCTTAGAGACTAGAGAAACGTCAACGGCCCGTTTGTACGGGGTGTTGGGCGAATGAGAAACCCTTCCCCATCCAGTCAATCCGTAACTGGAAGAATTTTTTTTTCCCCCCTAAAGTGGCAGCGCATACTTCATCAAGTTAGGTAATACACCTAGCCAGAATTAATTTATTAAACTTGAACACTAGTGTCTGGAAAGCTTGGCCATTTTATAAATAATTAATGAAGATGCCCCTCACTTTGCTGTGTACGTTATATCCAAGCGACTAATATCCTTTTGAAACATTGGTTTATACTACGTCATTGTAACTTCAATAATATCTTGAAGGAATGGAGGTAGCGTGTTTCCATGTTACAAGTTGAGTGACACGTTTTTAATGATATTTGAAATTATGATGTAAGAATTTGAGAAGGCAAGGACTTGTATTTTAAGACTATTTCCATTGCATTTGCAGCGCCTGATTAACCTCTCTGAGCTGACCCCATACATCTTGTGTTCCATTTGTAAAGGTTACTTAATAGATGCAACTACCATTACAGAATGTCTTCACACCTGTAAGCATACGGTTCACATTTCCACATATATTTAAAATTTTGGAAATGTCTCAAGCGTTTTTAATTTTTAATTAAAAATTTTTTGTTTTTCAACAGTTTGTAAAAGCTGCATCGTAAGGCATTTTTACTATAGCAACAGATGTCCAAAATGCAACATAGTAGTACATCAGACACAACCTCTTTATAACATAAGGTAAGAGAAATATCTAAGTAAAATGTAATGTTTTAAGCTACTTTTCCTGAAAGCTTGCAGTTGTGTAGTTGGGAACAAATTCTTAACCTACCTTAAAATTAGGAGAAAGGGTACTACTTACTCTTTTAAAAAATAAATATAGTGCACTTAGTATTACCAGGCACTGTGCTATCTGCTGGGGTATTTTTGAAAAATGAAGTACAGACATTTTTTCCTGGATATTTTAATTCTGTAACTCAAGATAGTGAGGCTACTTTGACCTTGTCATTTTAGTATACTGAGAATTTTTTTTTTTTAAGTAATACTTGAAGCAACTGGTTTCTCTTTAGAAAAACCTACCTGTCATAGGTCATTGTGGTTTATTAATCAAATTTTCAGTTCCTGAGCATCAAATGCTCAGTTTTTATTCTAAGGGAAGGAAAATCCTACAAGTAAATATCTTTCATTGGTTCAGCAAATAATGTTACATTTTTACTACTTTCATATAGCAGTACTTTCCAGATGATACAAAGAAGGTCAAAATATAGTCTCTGCCTTCAAGTTCACATTCTTATTCTGGGGGTTGGTGGTGGGAGAGGGGGAGGAATAAGATCAGCAAAGGTAGATAAATTTAGTAAACTACAATATTCAAGACAACCCATGTTTACTTGCTAATTTGTCATTACTGTAGGTTCTCTTAGGTGAGTTATATCTTAGGTGTCAATATGTGTACCTAAAAGTAAATGACTTCTGAGGAAGGAGAAATCCACTCCCAAGAGAAAACAGTTTGTTAACCTACAAAGAGCATCCTTCATTCTGTACCAAAATGCATTTTTCTAAATTCTGAGATGTTCTCCATCCTTTCCTTTTATTAGGTTGGACCGACAGTTACAAGACATAGTGTACAAATTAGTGATCAATCTAGAAGAAAGTAAGTTTGTTTTATTCATAGTTGTGAATCCTAGAATCTCTGCTGGCTCCACTAGTTACATTTAAGTGTAATGTAGTCTATGTTTTATTGTTTTTTTAGGAGAGAAAAAGCAAATGCATGATTTCTATAAAGAAAGAGGTCTAGAAGTGCCTAAACCTGGTAAGTTTGGGTGTATGTCATAATATATGGACAGATTAAAGATTACTAACTTAATAAAATTTACTCCTTTGAGGTTCTTATTGATGTATGACCAAAGAGAGAGAGATTTTGAAGATTGTGTTAGGTGTACTACATTTTAATTGTTTTTAAGAATTAAAAGAGTGCAGGCTCTAGAGCTAGATTACCTGAATTTGATTTCAGCTCTGCCACTTTACTGGTGTGTGACTTTGGCAAGTTATTTCAATGTTTTTGATTCCCCATCTACAGATAGGGATAATGGTAGTACTTACTTCATAAAATTGTTGTAAGGATACATTGAGTAATGTAAAGCACTTAAAACAGTGCCTTGCACATAGTAACTGCTCAAACACTTTATTTTTAAGATGATAGTGATGTCACAATATGGAAGTCGGATTTCAGTAAATTTTGGCTCTTCCACTTAATACCTGAACGACTTTAGGCATATTGCCTAATCTCACTAAGGCCTAGTTTCTTTGTCAGTTTAAGGAAGAAAAAAAAAAAGACTAGTAGTATTACCCATAAGGAGTCCTGGGTGGCTAACTGAAAGGTTGGCAGTTTGAACCCACTCAAAGGCACCTCAGAAAACAGACCTGGCTATCTGCTTCTGCAAGGTCAGCCTTGAAAGCCTTATGGAGCAGTTCTACTCTGCACATATGGAGTTGCCATGAGTCAGAATCAACTCAATGGCAACTAATAATAATAACCACCTATATCATAGGATTTAGTGTCTAAGGCACTTGACTGACTGCTTACCAGAAGGTTGGTGGTTCAAACCCACCAGCCATTCATCAGAAGGAAGGTTGGGCAATCTACTTCTGTAGTGATACTGCCTCGGCAACCCAAGGAGGGGTTGCTATGAGTTGGGTCTGACTCAACGGCTCATAACAACAACAACAACATCATAGGATTATAATGAGGATTCAATGAGATGGTGCATGTAAAATGTGAGCATAAGCCATGTGTGCAGTAGCACTTATTAAGGGTTATCTACAACTGTTACTGCTTTTAGGATGCTCTTTCTCTCTGACTTTCTTATGCCAGCCCAATGTGTCCATTTTCCATGGCAGAGCAGTCTCCAGTCTTGCCTCTAATTTCACTGGCTTTGACTAATCAGCTGATGTTATTAATGAAAGGGAGATTGACTGGTTTGTGATCTTTTAAATAGTTGGCATAATTTTAATACCTGTGTAATTATTTTTCGAAGATCTCAAATTATAAAATTTTGTTCTTACTCAAGTTTTATATTTGGCTGTCAAATAGCTGTTCCACAGTCAGTCCCTTTGAGCAAAGGAAGATCTAAGAAAGCCCTGGAATCAGTGTTTCGTATTCCACCTGAACTTGATATGTCTTTATTATTGGAGTTCATTGGGTAAGTACCCTAAAAAGCCATCAAGTAAAATATTTTTAACTGTCAAGTAAAGTATTTTTAAGTCCCAATGGTTAAGAAATCTTCTCAACAATTATGAACGCAGGTAAAGCCAAGTTTTTCTTTTATCCTTTTAAAAATTATGAAATTTTTAAGACACAGAAAAAGGTATAAAGAGTAATACAGTAACTACACATATACCCAATATCGGGCTTAAGACATAAACCACCGTTAATACAGCCAAAGCCCTTCGGGTTTCTCTTTCTGTTCACTCCCTCTCCTCTCAGATATTGATAACCACTCTCCTAAAAGTAATGTTTGTCATTTCCTTGCATTTCTTTACATATTTACCACATGTATATCTATTCTAAGCAATATATAGAATTGTTTTTGCCCATTTCATATTTGAATAATATACTGTGTGTCTTTCAACTTTGCTATTTTCACTCAATACTGTGATTCATCTATTTTATAATGTGTAGCTCTTGTTCATTTATTTTCACAATTGCATAATATTCTTTTAACGTGAATATACTACAGTTTGTCTTTCCTTACATTGTTGAACATTTAGGTTCTCTTCAATTTTTTATTATAAACAATGTTGCTATAAACATTTTTGTACATATCTCATGTACACGTAATATAGTTTTTCTAAGGGTATATAGACTTGCTAAGTCTTAGGATATGTTTATCTTCAACTTTACTTGATTTTGCCAAATTGTTTTCCAGAGTAGTTCCATATCTTTCTAATTCAAATAAATTGATTCTTTTAAACACTGTAGCATATGGTGTGTTTATTTGTGTTGCAGTAATATACTGTAACACTATAAATAGTCTGTCATGGTTACAAGGTTGGCATGAATCAAGCTATGGTTTTTGAAAATACTTACATAGTTTACAGTATAAAATGCCTGCTTGGGAAACCTAGATATTTGATTTTATGTTACTGAAGATTATTTTACTTCTTCGTTACTTCCTCTTAATAACTCCAGATTGCTCATATCATTTATTTCATATCTAGATTGTACTGTACTATGTTGTATTTATGTCTTTACCTTTTTATCATGTTCCTAATAATATTAAGAACCCGTAAGAGGCAGGAAACCTTTCTTATGCCCCTATGAAGCCCCAGAATTTACCACGTAGGAGTGGGTGATGATTAAAGATCTCTTTGGAGTAATGAGAAAGAACCATGTAATTCCAAAAATTAAATCAGCAGTTCCATTACTAAAGAGTGTATTCTAAGCTAAGTATCCAAAAGGGAACTGGTTAAATAATATTATATCCATTTATGAATAAGATATATCTATATGTGCTGATATAAGACAATATTAATTTTATATTAATATACTAACATATTAATCTTAATTATATATTAATATATATTAATCTGAGAAATAATAAGTGAAAAATGCAAAATGCCCATTTGTTTTTTTAAGAGGGTCACAGAAAATATGTGCATATGTATGTTTTCTTTATATGCACAGACCATTCTGGAAAGGTTATATGGCAAAATGTTAATGGTGGTTGCCACTAGGAAAGAGCATAGGAGTCACAGTTTAGGGTGAGAAAAAAATCTTAACTTTTCGTTGTTTGAATTTTACCATGTGACTTACTAATTTTTAATGTAGTTAGTTAAAACATTTTAAATTGAAAGGAATTATATTTCTAAAAGATGGTTTTTTTTTTTTTGTAAATGTTACCTTTTCTACTGATGTACAGTAGGAACTATGATTCAATGTTTGTACCTTGACTGACAGGTGGCATACTGTTACGCAAGGATGGAAAATATAGGCTGGATGTGCCACTATTAAGGAGACCTAGTGGCACAGTGGTTAAGCACTCGCCTGCTAACAGAAAGGTTTGTGGTTCAAACCTACCAGCTGCTCTGTGGGAGAAAAATGTGGCAGTGTGCTTCTGTAGCCTTGGAAACCCTATGGGGCTATACTGTGTCTGTAAGGTCACTATGAGTCAGAATCTACAGTGGGTTGTAGTTTGCTGCCACTATTACCTCATTCATTGCTCACAGCAGAAATCAATACTTAATCATATCTGGCTTTCCTAATGAATGAGACTTGATCACAATGCTCAAGGGAATCATTACCAGTTACCAAAATGGTCATGTTATTAACACAGTCTGCTGTAGTGGTAAGAACCCAGACTTGGAATGAGGAGATCTGGATTTAAGTCCTAACTCTGCTGTTTCCTAGGTTTGCAACCTTGAATAAATTGCTTTTTGTTTATTCATAAGTTGTTTATTAAGGTCCTGCTATGTACCAGCACTATGCTAGGTGCTCTGAAAATAGTTTTAATAAGTTTAATTACGATGAGTATTCTGTCTACCTCATAATATTGTCCATTATCTCTTTTCAAATGGTTAAAGTGGGAAAAAAATATTCCAATGGCAAGGAGTCTTTTGAAGTCAACAGTTTCCAGAGTTAAATCCCCAGGTTTTCACTACATGAAAAAGCTTAAGTGTTACCACAAAAGTCAGGCTACTGGGGGTAACCATGCAAAGCTGCTTCATAGCAGGGCAAATGGCAGATGAGTTTCAGCCTGATCTGGCAAATTTAGTCCACCTTATAATTCTGCATAAGTTGTAGTAGAGAAAAAAACTGAAGTGGGTTTTTCCTGTGGACAGTAATTTTTCAACCACTGGAATATAAAATTACATTTTTCCCCCTAAATTGGATATACAGGTTTTGTGATCTTAAGATAGTTTCTTCTTTTTGTTCTTCAGTTTTTCCATGGAAAGTAGAAGATTATAAAAAGAAATAACCTCAGACAGACAGTATAGAGTACAGAAAGAGCATAGGTTTTAAAGAGTCTGATTCAACGTATATGACCTTTGGGATGTAGCTTAACCTTTCTGATCATTAGTTTCCATACTTTTAAAATATGGGTTATAATACCAACTCACTGGACTATCATAAGAATCAACATAAGGTATTCTTAACATGGCTAAGCTATTACCAATACATTTAGAAATACTGCACTCAAAAATAAAAGTAGTCCATGTTGCTGTGATATGTACAACATCTACACACTAAATTGTCTCACACAAGATAAATATGATGTGGCTGCCAAAAATTGATGCATTCTTCAGCTCAGTGATATTTAGTAAACCAGGAAGGTAATATCTCACTCTCACACATTCTGTGTTCATCCAGCTGGAGTATTGTGTCCAGTTCTGGATACCACATTTTAGGAGGATGTTGGTAAACTGAGGTATTACTCGAATGATGAAAGGCCAGAAAACCATGTGATATGTGGTAATGGAAGGAACAAAAGATCTTTAGTATGTAAAAGAAATCATAAGCTCCTCAAGTTAACTTCAAATTTTTAAAGGATTATCACATAAAAGAAAGATTGGCTTTAATTCACAAGAGTACCAAAGAGCAAGACTAATACTAGTAGGTATAAGTTACAGAGAGACATATTTGATTCAGTGTAAGTAATTTCTAACAAGGTCACCCACAAATGCTATGGGATGATTTGCCTTCTACTTCTTCAGGTATTCAAATAGAAACTAGAAGCCCATTTGTCACGGATTTTATAAAGAGAATTCTTGCAGTGAAGGTTGTTCTGTAACTCTAAGAGTATGTATATAATCATTTTAGATTGATACTGTGTATTTTATATATATGTAATATTGTTACGTGAATATTATGTTCAAACCCCATTCTTTACAACACATGGGCTTTGATGCTAGGCAAACTTCGGTTTGAATCCCAGCTTTATCACTTACAGGCTCTGTAACCTTAAGTTATTAACCTCTTTGAGCTTAATTGTCTTCATCTGTGGAATGAGGCTACAAATGCCACTAAACTAAGGGCCACTAAACTAAAGGCTAAATGAAAATCATGCAGAATCTGAAGACCTAATATACCTGGTACATAGTAGATGCTCAGTAAAAGTTGGTGCCCTTTGTTCTCTCTCATGACATAGAAAAAATTGATTTAGTCAAGAAATCTCTTTGGCCTTCTAGGTGAAAGGCAAACCAAGTAAAATGATCAGGTGATTTTCCAGCAAGTGATATGATAAGAAATAATAACAGCCTTTTTCTTTTTATTTATTTTTGAATTATTCAAAATCAGCCTTTTTTTTTTTTTTTTTTTTTAACTTTTTGTGATTTGGGTGAAAGTTCCCAGCGAAATGGTTTCCCATTCAACAATATGGAAAAAAATAATAATAATAACCTTACTGCTGTCAATTCAACTCAAAGCAACCCCTTCTTAGGTTTCCGAAGTGGTATCTCTAAGGAAGTAGATCACCCAGTCTGCCTTCCCAGGAGCAGCTGGTGGGTTTGAACCACCAGTCTTCCGGTTAGTAGTCAAATGCCTTAGGCACTATGCTACCAGAGCCTTATAAAAAAAATCTTATCTTGTAAAGGTTACTTTAGAGGAAAAAAATGTTCATTATGATATTTAAAAAATTAATTTAGATTTTAAGTTGGGAAACTAAAAGGGGGAATCTAAATATTAATTTACTTTTAATTCTTGACATTAAATATTGAAAGTAGTGTAAAATACTGGAGAAAGCTGACTTTGTGTCACCACTAGGTGGCAGAAGTGACAAAAAGGCTAAATTCTATTTCTTAAAGGGATTAGCTAAGTGTCTGAAAATTTTAAAATAAACTGATGTTCCTGGAATATTTATATTTATGTTACTTTTCTGTTATGTAATTAAACATACAGTTTAAAAATTTAAACGTTGATCAATTTTGTTCTCATTTTTCAGTGCTAACGAAGGCACAGGACATTTTAAGGTATTCTACTTTTGTTTTTCATTTCCATGCATTTTACAAGAGGACTGTAGCGCAGATTTCAAAGCCAGATTAGCAACCATAAGCAGATTGTCTTCAATTACAATAAATAATATTTTGTATGTAAAAGTTATTGAAATATGAAATCCATTCAATGATGCTATCTTTTAATAGATTTATGAGGAAAGAGACTTAATGAGTAGAGATTTGTTATTAACCCAGAAAAGTAGTCTAAGGAAAAGAAGTAAATAATTTTTAAAACGCTGAGATCAAATGCTATGTTAATTTGGTGACAAAAATGTTTCAAAGCATTTTTTACATAGTTGGCATTCAGAGTTAATATAAGCTTAAAAATTCTATTTGCATGTAATATATTTGGCTCAAGGTGACCTACCCTAACTTTTTACTTCAGTCACTTACTGAGATTTTAGAAATAGGAATGAATGCCTTTGTAATATACTTAAATTCAGAGTTGTCTGAAATGCTCCAAATCACAGGTGACATTGTACACAGTGCTGCTACTATAGTATGACTTACTCAGGAGAAGGTAACTTTTAAAGGGAGCAGATCAGGCCTTATAGTTACTTTAGATTGTTAGTATATACAGAAACAGGTAACTTTAATCTGTTCAGATTTTCAGTGCCTTTGTCAAAGTTTATGCTGAAAGTTGGGTGAACTTTCCTTGGTTGGGCATACTGTTTTGTTTTATAAATATACTGGCTTATAGAGGTGAATTAAAACACAGAGGTAGACAGGTAATTTTCTGGATGAGTTATGTTACAGATGTCCCCCAGAGATTAGTGTGAAAGAGAGGACAGTGTTAAGTCCCCACGGTTTCTAGAAACTTCAAACTTCTTAATTATAAAATACCAAACTAATAGTGACAAACTTTAGCATTTTCTTCCATAGCAATATGGTGGTGGGAAAGTGACAGAGAAGTTTCTGTATGGAACAAATACTGGATCATATGCTCCTAAAACCAAACCAGTTGCTGTGAAGTCAACTCTGACTCATGGTGACCCCATGTGTATCAGAATGAAGTCTTTTATACCAAACAACAGGTCAGTTTAATTAGTAAAGAATGTCTACACTGTGTTCTTTTTAAAGAACGATCTGTAAGGGATCAAACGGATAACTATAAGGGAACAAATTAGATAGGACACTTAGGGGGCAGTGAGTTTATGTTAATGGGAAGGAATGGAGAAGGAGGATGAGAATGGCTGCATAATTTGAAAAATGTAATCGGTGTCACTGAATTATACATGTAGAAGTCATTGAACTGGTATATATTCTGTGTATGTTCTTGACAACAGCAAAGAAAATAAATTTATTAAAACAGAAAAAAAGGATTGAAATTCTAATACATGCTACAATATGGATGAACTTTTGCTAAGTGAAATAAGTCAGACACAAAAGAACAAATACTGTATGCTCCCACTTATGTGAAATATCTAGGATGGGGAGAATGCATAAAGACTACAGTTAATTGGTGTTTCTGGGGGAAGGGGGAGTGGGGAGCTATTGCTTAATGGGTATTGAAATTCTGTTTGAGGTGATGAAAAACTTTCAGAAATGAATAGTGGTAGTAATTGTACAACATGATGAATGTAATGAATGTCACTGAATTGTACATTTTTAAATGGCGAATTTTATCTATATTTTACCACAATAAAATAATTTTAAAAATTTTATGGAAAAAAGTCATTATCATGAAAGATAAAAGTAAGTGGCAGAACTTTTAGATTAAAGGAGTTTATAGAAACATGATAACTAAAAGCAGTGTGTTATTCGTCATTAGAAGCTGAATTGAAATAGCAGTTTATAAATGTTATTATTAGAACAATTGGAGAATTTTAAATAGAGACTTAGGTCATTTTATTAATGTTAAATTTCCTGAATACCTCAATAAATTTCTTAATGATTATAGTTATGTAAAAGAATATCATTATTCTGAGAAGATACCTGCTGATGTATTTATGATTCAGATGGTCCAAGAGGAAAAATATGTATGTGGACACACACACATGCATACACACACATACACATAGATAGAAATAAAGCAAATATAACACAATATATTAATGGTGAAGGGTATCTGAATGCTCACTGTACTATTCTTACAACTTTTTTTTTTTTTTTTAAATTTTTATTGAGATTTGGGTGAAAGTTTACAGAGCAAATTCATTTTCCATATTGCAGTTCATACACATTTTGTTTCATGACATTAACTGCAATCCCCACAATGTAATAGGTGTCTTCCCACTTCCTCAATATAGTTACCTCTTCCCTGTGTCCTTCTTTCCTATGCTTTTCTGCCCCTTGAGCTGTCTCGCTGTTCAAATACTACTGTTCTCTTCTTCCACGACTGATCATTCTAAGGAGTGTATCTACCTGGTATAAATGTTCACCTTATATGCCTGTCTGTTGTTTGTCTGGAGGTCATTGGAATGAGTTCAATTTCAGGCCTGAAGGGTAACTAGGGGCCATAGTCTTGGGATCCCTTTTCAAGTGGTTGACAATGGTAGCCAAGTACCATCTAGTTCTTTTGGTCTCATGGTCATATTGGCTGAGGTTTGCATGGTCCACCAGTCCCTTGGAGTAATTGTTACTATGCATCTTTAGTTTCCTAGTCTTAAACTTTTAAATTTGTCATTTTTCAAAAAGTTGGAGGTGAGGAATGAAAGCAAAAAACAATCTCTTATCAAATATCTAGTTAGCATTCAAAGTTTTAATTGTCTTAGTTTCTTGATAGGTCTTCAAATCTGTGAGTTCATTTATTTTTTTCATGCAGTTATTAAACCAAATCATTTGTCCTGTAGTTTTCTACAGATTGGATTTTGCTGTTGGCTCTCTGTGGTATAACTACTGTCTTCTGTCTTTCCCATAAACTGGTAGATTTGAGTGTTGATAAGGTGCAGGCTTGATTGGGAGGATTAAGAATATTTCATAGGTGATATTCCTGTTTATCTTCACCTGCTGTCTTCAAGTCAATTTTGACCCTGTAGTACAGAGTAGGGAGCTCTGGTAGCATAGTGCCTAAGGCACTTGACTGCTCACCAGAAGGCTGGCGGTTCAAACCCACCAGCCACTCCTCGGAAAGAAGATTGGGCAATCTACTTCCGTAATGATACCACCTTGGAAACCCAAGGAGGGCTCGCTGTGAGTCGGGTCTGACTTGATGGCATGTAACAACAGCAACAGTACAGAGTAGAACTGAACCATAGGGTTTCTGAGACTTTAAATCTTCACAGAAGTAGACTACCACATCTTTATCCAACAGAGCAGCTGGTGGGTTTAAACTGCTGACCTTCTGGTCACCAGCAGAGTGCTTAACCATTGCATCACCAGGATTCCAGCTTTCATCAGAAGGTACATAATGTCTGGTTACTTTCTAAGGTTAACAGCTATTGATGCTCAATGTCTAAATCTTAGGTATTATCAAGTTCTATCAAGTTGTAATACCTTTTCCTTTGACAAAAAATTCCTAACTCTCTCAACTGAAAAGGCCTAGAAACAGTGACCAACCCAGTAGCAATGCAAACCAAAGGGACCATATTGTGATTCTGAAACACCAATCACTATTAAAAGGAACTAGGACTTGGAGAAATGACTGATTCCATGTCTGGGGCAAGAGATGTACAAGTTGAGTATGGAAAGTCTTGTTGTATTAGATAATAAGACCAATAAGACATTTTTGGTGACATACATTATCTAAAGACAGAAATAACTGATTTTTTAAAATTTCCATGTAGATAAAAAACAAACCCACTGCTGTCAAGTTGATTTCAACTCATAGCAACTCCCTTTGGGTTTCCGAAGTGGTAAATCTTTATGGAAGTAGATTGCCCAGTCTTGCTTCTGCAAAATGGCTGGTGGGTTTGAACCACTAGCTTTCTGGTTAGCAGTCAGATACCTTAGGCACTGTGTTATGAGAGCTCCTTGTATTATAGATGGCAAGAGTATAATTCTTCTGTGGGACTTTTTCTGTTTATTTGCAGATCGTAGGAGGCTATTAGGTGTAGAGGAAAAAATAATGAGTGGACCATCTCATTGAGAACTGGTTTTGTAACCTTCAGTAAAAAGAGCAAATTGTCTTCTATAAATAAAAGCTGGGTTCAATGGGAGAAAATACTTCTTTTAATTTTTGTGACTGGGGTATAAGAACTAAGATTAACCATGTGAGAACCCTAGCTTTTTTTTTTCTTTTTCTTTTTCTTTTTTAATTGTGATTTGGGTGAAGATTTACAGAGCAAATTCACTTTCCATACAGCAGTTCACATACACTTTGTCTCATGACAGTGACCACAGTTTACAACAATGCAACAGCTCTCCTCCCACTTCCTCCCCATAGTTACCTCTTCCCAGTGTCCATCCCTCCATGCACTCCTGCCCCGAGCTGTCTCCCTGTGCATAAGCAGCCCTTCTTTCTCCCATGATTGTTCTCTCCAAGGAGGGTATCTACCTGAGGTAAATGTTCAACTCATATACCTGTCTTTTGTTTGGCTGGAAACCATGGGGGTAGGGAGAATCCTAGCTTTAAAAGCTGAGAGTAATTTCTTTTTCTTTCAAAGGCATATCTAATAATTTCTTTTTCTTTCAAAGGCATATCTAATAATTTCTTTTTCTTTCAAAGGCATATCTAATAATAAATCTGGATGATCTAAGAATTACAGCTTAAGCCAAATTAGATGAATTTTTACAAACACTTGGGGAAGGCTGAGGTGCCCACCATTAATTTGGAAATGAGAGAAACTGATAGTCTTCTGCTGGTATACCTGAAGCCTACTATAGAGATGGCAGACTATGGACACTGACCTTCAGAAACGCACTAGTTGGCTATCAAGCATTTAACCTAGATTATCCATAAGACAGGTCTCACCTAGTTTGGTCATGTTGTCAGAAGGGACCCTTCTCTGGAGAAGGATGTCATGCTTGGTAGGGTAGAGGGTCGACAAAAGAGGGGAAGGCCTTCAAAGAGATGGATTGACACGGTGGCTGTGATGATGGGCTCAAGTATAGCAGGGATCATGGAGCTGTTGCAGGATCAGGCAGTGTTTTGTTCTGCTGTGCATGAGGTCGCTATGAGTCGGAAACGACTTGACGGCACCTAACAACAACAACAACATCCATAAGATGGAGCTTCTAAAGGCATCTAATGGGATTCTCATGCTAATCAGGTGGTGTCACCTGTAATGAGGGGCTCCAGCTGGGGTACTGCTGTGTCTCCTCAGTGAAACTGCTTTCATGTGAGATGATTCCTATACCAGCATTAAAAGAACATGAGAACTTTGCCATTTTTGTCTAGATCTAGCACTGTCCCATTGTGACTCCTAGAAGAGTTACTATTCTTCGCATTAATAGCAAAATGATACAAATCATATTAGACAAACTGGTACATAGCACAACAGTAACATCTATTTAAGTGCTTACTGTGTGCCAGGAATGTTTATTAGTCATTTACATACAGTAACTCATTAATCTTCATGATAGTGCTATGAGATAGGTGCTTTTGTTATCTATATTTTGCAATTTGGAAAACAGAAAGGTTAAGCAACTTGCCCAAAGACTTGGGCTAGAGAATGGCAGAATCAGCATTTAAGCCCAGGCAGTCTGTCTCCAGAGTACCTGTTCTTAACACCTGTGCTATCTGGTATATTGTGGGAATATGGGATACATCTATAGTCAAGAAAGGTCTTAAGAAACCAAACTACAAATAAGAAAGCTGAGTGATATCATATGGGGGGAAAAATTAGTGGCCATTATGAGCTTTCTCTGTTGTTACTGTTGCTATTAGTTGCTGTCAAGTCAATTCTGACTCTGCTAGTCCTAGAAAAACATTGCTCAAGTTTTCCTAAAAGGTATCCTTTTAGTTATAATTGCCTCAGCTTTTAATTTGCATCAGATGGTAGTGTCATTAATTGCTTTAGGGAGCAATGATTAGTGGATAAGCACTAATTTCTACTTTTAAACCCAGTTTGTTTTTTTGAAGAAACCAGATTGTTTTAGACATTTAATCTTGGGTGTATTCTTTCTTTGTTATAAGTGTAAATTCAGTGCTTGGATTGAATGGATAAATTCTACTCTGAATTTTGTTTGTATTAAAATAAACCAGCAAACCCTTATATTTTTATATATATATATGTATATAAAGTTGGTATTCTTTTCAAAGAAAAGCTAAGCAGAATTTCTGTTTTTCTTCGATAGGTAAAGTAATTCAAATTTCATAATTATTTTTCATAAGTCTTTGCTATAAAACTTGCCTTATGGCTTGTACATTTTAAATATATTTTCTAATCAGAAAATAGTTTTATCTATCTCTTTATTTTTGTAGCCACTGGAAAAGAAGTTTGTCCGAGTTTCAGGAGAAGCAACTATTGGGCATGTAGAAAAATTCCTCAGAAGAAAAATGGGTCTTGATCCAGCTTGTCAGGTATAGTACATATATCTAAAAGACAGAAATTACCTCTAGCATATCGAAGAAATAAGTGTCTGTAGCATTTCATGCTGCGACTATATTTTATGATATTGTCAACAATGTAAATGTAATTGAACATCGGCACACAGTAATTCTAATCCCAAACTTTAAACCACATTTGATTTGTTGGCTATTTCTTATTGCCACTGATGACACCATCTATTAGAGTAAGAGAAGCTGAGAATGTGAGAAGTAATAAAGAGCTTTATGGACCAAAAAATTCTACCTCTTCCAATTCTAATGATAGAAGTTAAAGTAAAAGATTATTTAATTACCTGCTTTTCTTCACAGGACATCTTGCATTATTGTTATACCTGCTCAAGTATAACAAGCAAGCTCAAGATACCTAGAACAGTGAAATTATTTATCTAATATAGATCCTATTAGTTTGTTTAAGAATTAGGAAAGATCTCTTACTCCAGATGTATAATATTTTCTTGTTGTTCTAAGATAAACCTCAAACTTCAAGTATCAGTGACTGTGAAGTATAAATGTACTCATACGTCTAATACCAGTGACCCAGTGAAAATGGCACATTTATGTAGCTTTACTTTTTCATTAATTAAACTTAAAAGGAATTTTTCTCATTTCCCATCATGTATAAAATTTCATAGAATGATTTTTATCTAAAATAACCTATTTGCTGTTGAATAAGTTAATATTTTTGTTTTTTACTTTTTATTGTGATTTGGGTAAAAGTTCATAGAGAAAGTCAGTTTTCCATTCATCAATTCATACACATTTTGTTTCATGTCTTTGATTGCAGTCCCCACAATGTAACATCATTTGTCCCACTTCCTCCCTGTTTCCTGTTTCCATTCCTTCTTGTTTTCCTAGCACTGCCTGCCTTCTGAACTTTTGATCTGCCTGATCTCAAATGGTTGGTTGTCCTAAGGACTGTGTACCTCCCTTGTGTTATTGTTCACCTTTGTTATTGTTTGGCTGAAAATTGAGCCAGTAGGGTGAGTTTAGTTCCAGGCCTGATGGGTAAGTAAAGGCCATTGTCTTAGGGGTTTTACCAGTCTCTGTCCAACTAGTAAGCCTGGTCTTTTTTATGATTTTGAGTTTTGTTCCACATTTTTCTCACTCTATCCAGGACCTTCTAATACACCATAGTTTGTTTATCCACTGATCTGTTGACTGGCACTTAAAATGTTTCCATCTTTTTGCTATTGTGAATAGTGCTGTGATATCTATTCATTTCATGGCTCTTATTTATGTAGGATATATACCTAGTAGTGGGATTGCTGGATCATATGGTATTTCCTTCAATTTCCACCTTTTTAAGGAAGCACCATACTGTTTTCCGTAGCGGTTATACCGTTTTACAATCCCTCCAGCAGTACATGAGGGTTCCAATTTCTCCGTACCCTCACCAGCATTTGTTGTTTTCTGTTTTCTTGAGCTTTGCTATTAATGCTGGAGTGAGATGATATCTCCTTATTGTTTTGATTTCTATCCCTCTAATGGCAAATGATTGTGAGTATCTCTGTGTATTTGTTGACTGCTAGAATGTCCTTGGTGAAGTGTCTGTTCATGTCCTCTGCTCACTTTTCCATTGGCCTGCCTTTTTGTTGTTGAGGTATTGACGTTTTCTGTAAGTTTTAGAGATTAGTCCCTTGTCCGGTATGTTGCTAATTTTTTCCCCCCAGTTTATGGGTTCTCTTTTCACTCTTTTGGTAAAATCTTTTCATGTACGTTAAGTGTCTAATTTTTTGAAGTCCTGGTCATCTAGTTTGTCTTCTGTTGTTTGTGCATTTCTAGTTATGTTTGATAGTCTATTTATGCTGTATATTAGGACCCCTAAGTTTGTCCCTGTTTTTTCTTTAATGATTCTCATAATTTTAGGTTTTACGTTTAAGTTTTTGATCCATCTCAGCTTTGTTTTTGTATATGGTGTGAGATTTTTCTGCAAATGTATATCCAGTTTTGCCAGCACTATTTGTGAAAGAGACTATCTCTTCCCCATTTAATGAGTTTTGGCGTTTTGTCAAAGATGAGCTGTCCAGCTCGGGGCGCAGAAGAGTATGGAGGGATGGACACTGGGAAGAGGTAACTATGGGGAGGAAGGTGGGAGGGGAGCTGTTGCATTGTAAATTTTGGTCAAT